AAAGAAAATGCTTCCACAAGCGCGTCTCCCTGTGGACGGTGCGATGTACGCCTTTGGTTCATTTGCTGGACCATCCTGTGGGAGGGCCGGTGGCTGCCGACGACGGTTCGGGAACGCCTCTAAGCATCGAGTGGTTCAACGACTTTCAAAGGAATTTCGCTAATGCATAGCTCATAGGAAGCACTGGGCTTTAGATTGTATNTGGTTCAACGACTTTCAAAGGAATTTCGCTAATGCATAGCTCATAGGAAGCACTGGGCTTTAGATTGTATCTACTCCTCTACAGCGAGATCCATAGTTTTTGCTCAAAAGGGGGCCTTATGCCCACTGCCCAGAGTCGGCGGCTCAACACGCCTTGCGACCCACGTGTCCAACTCGTAAATCTGCTGTGCTTCTAGCGAACTTCAAGATGAATTTCACCTACGTTGTTCGTCCAGGGGAAGCTCCTGAGGGCAGAGGGCCTCAGCTTGAACCATTCTGGGCATTTTGTATCAACTTCAACCTCCGACTTGGTCTCCTGATTCAAGTGGTCGCCTATGGCACTCTCCTTGCTACGACTTCATCAGGAGGAAGGGATCCTCTCTCTCTTCTCAGCTTCTCCAGGTGTAATCCTGATTCTGTCGGTGGGTTAACATGGGCATGCCCTGCGTAGGATATCAGTTGACCCCGTGCAGCAGACCGTGCAGCAGATGCTGCTACTCAGCACATGCTCCATCTAGCAGACCCACTGGTAGTGCACCTAAGTCATGGGGACCACAGAGGAGACTGCAATAGGTAACGAGTTTTACCCAGATTGCTTCTCTCAACACTCGCCTACATTCATGGCGTAGATGCGCATCCGCATCTCCTGTGCTCTAAGGCAATTCCCCTCTGTGGACGGCTCAGCTGGCTTGCTGTCTCTTCATCCTCGGAAATCTCATCACTATGGCATTTCAATCCCTCACCGACGATGATAGCAGGTTAGCTTCGAGGCCGTCCGTACCGCACCTGCAGACGTTCCACTCTGCTCCATGCAGTCTAAGCCATCACACGTAAAATGGCCCTGCCTAGGGGTGTTTTTNCAGCATCAAGCAGTCTCGTGGGTACCGCGCCGGAACCAAGTTTTTGCAGCAAGCCTCGTCCTTCGGTGTGCTTGCATCTACTTTGGCCCTCCTTGTCTTCTATTCAGCAAACTACTACTTTGACGACCCTTGGATGAGCAAAAACATCGGGGGCGGCTCATCTTGGTTGGTCTTCTTCACGTCACGCGTGTGCGATGCCTTCGCCTTGTTTTTCTACGCTGGGTAGGTTCTGGAGACAAGGCAATGCTTATGCTGCTCCACTGCTTGTTCGTAGCTTCCCTTTGCATTCTAGTTTTCGTGAGGAGACTTGCATCCTCGAGATGCCAGTTGCGAAGTCTTTTGCGTTCAGTTCCATCTTCTTCTTGGAGACCTACCACTCTGAGGGAGCTGGCGAGGCCTGGGGCTGGCTGGGAGCCATCTGTTTCAAGCTTGCTGCTTTCGCTGGTATGACGCCCTCAGTTCATCTTGGGTCCCGTGACTATCGGGGATGCGGCGTAATTTTCCCAACGGAAGTAGGTCAGTAGATCCATCCGACTGTGTTTCCTTGTGTGTGCAGAGATCGCTGCATTGACTGCTTGGGGAACTTCCTCGTTTGAAGTGCTTGATGCTATTTATACAGTGATGCTCGGTGTCTCCATCAGCATTGCTTTTCTTTGGTCTCTCTTGTTCGAACCAGCAAGTCATCGTTTCG